GCTCGAGCGCATGACAGACCACTGTCTGCTCATCACACACCGAAGCGTAGCCCGCGTGCTACTGGCATACTTCCAGGGTCTCAAGCGCGAGGACGTGGCCGATCTGGACTGCCCACTGGGCATGCTGTACCAGTTGGAACCCAAGCCCTACGGCGTCGAGTTCAAGGCCTGGCGATACAACTCCGAGACAGATGACTTTGACCATCTGCCGGACTACAAGCTCAGGCGTGCGCCTACGCTGGCAAACCACTAGGAGCGATTGTCGTTTGATTGGGATTAGAAGAAGGTTTTTGCGATATGTGTATATTACTATGGATGGTTTTCTCCCTGCAACAAGGTTTTAGAGATGAGTGCGATGGTGGGTTGGCCATTACTTTTCGGGGGTTCGTGGTTCTCTCCCTAATGCTTGCCCTACGGTAACGGCTCTTTTGACGCGCGGTTGCGATGCTTTCATGAAGTATACATGATGGTTATGGGCATTTACAGGAGTCTCTTTCTTTTCCTTTACATCACTCTTTGCGTAGATGGGGGTATGGGTATATGATAGATTGATGATCGGATGGATTATGCAATGATGATTAGACCTTGGCGTCTTCACTTCACTCAAATTCTGGAGCTATGTGATGCATGTGATTGTGAATCTTTGCGCTAGGGAGTGTATAAAGCCTCTCTTGGGGGCACCCTCCTCTCTTCTTTATACCACATCTTTCTAGGTCATTATCCAAAAACGTCGTACGCAAAGATGATGTTTGCCCTGGCGGCTCTCTTCAAAAGAAAGGGAAAAAGAACTCATGTGCGCGCCCTCCGCCTGTCTTTCCAAGGCTATTTTCTAAAATCCAACCTACAAGTCCCATGAGAAGACTCTCCGCCGAAAACCTGTAAAAAAAAGCCAGGCACACACCCCATGGCACCAGCGACTGTGCTGTTTCAAAACAAGCATCAAAGTTCGCTATGTCTTCTCCGGCCCGGCTGTCGGAAGCGTATAAAACATCTCTTCTGGTCTCTCTGCTTCCTACCAACTACCGCGAATTATTTCCGATCTGTTACAAAAGCACAAAAACGGTGGTGGCATGTGTGCGCCGGCTTTCTCCTTTCAAAACATGAACGTCACAATCAACATGTGCGCTTTGGCCTTCGTCTTTCCACGAAATGAACGTTACCCCCAATGTATGTGCGCTCTCTGCGTCGGCTTCTTACAAAAACGTGACCGGCTACTGTTTTATGTGCAAGTCGAGTGCTGTGGAAAACAAGATACGAGCTTGTGTCTATGGATGAGCCGTGAGACTGGTGCCGCTGGCTCGACACTCAACGTCCTTGAGCGGGACATTGTGCTCAGGACCGGACACGAGAGATGCATAAATACACCTTCTTGCTCTCCTAGCTTCTTGCCTTCTACAACTACCACCTTCCTCCTTCTCATACCAAAAGATAAGCAGGCCGTCTACATGTGGGCTCCTGCTCCTCTTTTCCAAAACAACAATTCTCCAACAGGTATGTGCGCTTGCGCTGCTCTCTTCCCCATTACCAAAACGAAACTCGATCCCATCCTATTCATGGAGGCTATGAGCTTTATCTAAAATAATCGCAAAGAGCCCCATGGAGAGCGCGGCTTTTTGCGCTGCGCATACAACATAGCCACCAAACCAGTCATGGAGAGTGGAGATGCTGGCGATGGCGTATAAAATTCTCCTCTGCGTCTTCCTTTCAGCTTATTTATCGCCACACTTCCTGTGTGCTTTCTACCAAAACCTCCACAACGGCGAAACATGGAAGTGGAAGACTGGAAATTTCGCATTCAAAAAATCTTCCCTCGATTCCCATCTTATGTCGGCCTCTCCGCGATCTCTTCGCATTCCACCAAAACTGTAAAGATGGACCTTTCATGTTCGTTTCTGGCGTTCTTCCTCTCCCGCCCAAAACCTCAACGTCGGTTGTCGATGGCTGCGTGTGCTGTCTTCGTTCTACTTCCACGCTGTCCTTACAACAAATGTTTGCGATTCACCGCCATGAGAGGAGCTGTGCTGTTCGAAAAAAAAATCATGCAACATGTCATGGAGTGGGCTGTGCCGAGTGCTGAGAATTCTGGAAAGAGCATTACATCGTGCACATGGCTGGAGAAAACGAGATAGGGATGAGATATAAAAGCTCCTCTTATTCCCCTCTTCTTCTTGTTTCCCATCCACCACTCCTTCCGGGGTTTTACTAAAACTTACTTATTTCGAATCCATGGCTGTTTTGAGTTTCTTCCTCCTAAAATTGCTGTCAAGCATGGCATGTCTGCGGCTCTCGGTCTGTCGCTGTTACTCCAATATTCAAAAAGTCCATGCATACGCTGCATGCTCCGGAGACCAGATCTGGCGCATATCTATGGAATCTCAAGATACCGTTTCTATCAAAATGCTTAGTCCACAGCGCCATGGTCGAGAGCAGAGGATCCGGGTTTTCGCCAATCCAGCTATAAAACATACCCGATACCGCATTTCTGGCCTTCTTCATGACCACCTTACTTCCCATGCTTTACTCCAAAACAATAGGTCATGGGCCTATGGCTCTTCTCCTGTCCAAAGATCGACGATATCCGACAGAATGATCTGTTCTTCCTTTCCGCCTTTCTAAAACCACATGTGCGAATACCCAATGTCGGAGTGTTCGTGGGAAGAACCAAAAAGGACGGTTGACTGGATGATGAGCAGCGCCTGTCGACAAAACCCGTAGTCGCCAACCCATGTCGGTTGTCGGGACTAGAGAGAGAGAGAGAGGTATAAATTCCTCTCTCGTCGGCTTGAGGACTTGCTTTGTATATTACACTCTTCCTGCGGTTTACTAAAAGCACTAAGACATGAGTTATGTGCTCTGCTCTTCTTCCCAAAAAAACACACAGCACTATCAGATGCCTGTGCGCTCTTCTTCTCGAGTTTGCAGTCGACAAGTTTCTCTCGCAACTAAGCCCTACTCAAAATTCACGAACTACGCCGCCATGCGGAGTTTGGCTCTCAAAACAGAGTCGAAACGGGAGAATGACCTCGCTGCATCAGATCTGCAAGCACATACACCCAGGCTGGATATAAAAGACCTTCCTACGTTCGTTTCTCCTGGCTTCCTTCATCCACCATCTCCTGTATCATTTACCAAAACCATGAGAACTGGGTTCCATGGGCGTTTGTCTGCTTCTCTGAAAGTTCCCGGGCAGTCACGTATGTCCTTCTTCTTCTTCGCTTGCTGTCAAACACATGAAGTCATTCACTATGAAGACCGAGGGTGCGATTCAAAAGACATCGCGTTGGTCATATGAGCAGTGTGTCTCTGAAGTACCAAGATGCATACAACATGACTTCAGCGGTACGCTGGATTGCACATAAAAGCCTCTGCGCATTCTCTGCTTCTTTTCTTCTACACCAACATACTTCCTATTCTTTTCCAAAAACTATTTGGCAAAACGCTATGACTCGGCTCGTCAGTAGACTGTGCTTACATATCCTTCTGACTTGTCGGCTTGACTCTAAAAACTACACTCTACTCAAATCTCAAAATTCCAGATTATCACGTGCCATGGCAAGTTCTGGTCTTGCGCAACAAACTTTGCGAGGATGCCGGCTATGGTCCGCGCGTTTCGATCTCATGAGAGTCTCATGATGCGATTTTGGAACCGTGCAGCCATTACAGCTATGACTAGCGCGAGAGCTGCGTGCATAAAGCTCCTTCCTCGCTTTTGGCTCTCTTTATCCTATATTCCAAGCTCTTGTTAGCTTTTCCAAAATCGCAACGATAACTCTGAATGGCCTCTCTGGCTCTTTCTCTAAAAACAATTCAACAGCCTGGAATGAGTGCTTTGGCTGCTCGTTCTCTCTTCTTTCAGAACCATCAGCCGCACTATCATGAGCGAGAAAAGTCATACTTCACCAAAACATCTACCAAGAACCGATTTCCAAAAACAAAACTCACAATGACATGACTTGCGGCTGGCGTCAACGAGAAACTGTAGAGACCGAGAGCCATGGTTGTCTGCTCCCTCCACGGACTTTGCTCATGAGAATCTGGCTACTCAAACAAGACGAGATAGTGCGCATAACTGGTGCAGCATTGTGGCTTGAAAATGCAAGGCGAAACTTCCATGTGCGCTCCTGCTGCGTCCTCAAACAACGTCGCACAGATATCATGAGCTTGGGCGTCGGATACTGGGGCAGTGATATCGTGTGTCTCCAAAACAATATGTACGCCTTTGGATGTCGCGGCCAGACGTTTCGAAACGCACCAGCGAGCTTGGATATGGCAGAGTTCGCTTGTTGGAGATATAAAAGGCCTGTGAACCTGTCCTTTCTTTCTTGTGATCTTCCACCACCATATTGGGCTCACCAAAAAGCCTAATACGTGCATCTATGGACGGTCAGCTCGCTTCTCTAAAACGCTTTCTGATGCGATTCATGTGTTGCTGTTGCTCGCGCTTTCCCGATTGCTTGAGCTACCCGGTTCCGCACGGGGGCTGTGAGTGGTGGAGAGACTGTAGCAGGACGTTCAGAAGCGGTGCTGCAATGACCCATGGGAGATTCTACCCCGATGGAGGCGTCTTGCGGAGGCGATAATGACGGCGATAATGATGGTCGCTGGATGGGACCATGGGTCCCTGTGCGGCTGACAATCTGCTGATGTACTGGAAAGCGTGGAGTAAGTTCAGGGAACTAGAAGGCCGTAGAAGTTGATACCGGTGACAGTAAAGTTGCGATTTGTTCGTCGACATACACGGGCTGCAAAGCTGAAGCGTGCATGCGAGCTAAGGTAGCCTCGTTGAACGCCACGATGCAGCCGCTCCTTATTTCAGTGGAGGGGTCAGCTGAAAAGTTTTCGTCGCGCAACGCCAGCCTTCATCCTATACATCCTTTTCTGCGTTTCCGTTATCGTGTCGTCAATTCAATTTGCGAAGTCGAAAGTCTGACGGACACGGCCACATCCCAGACCTCTCAAGCTAGCGCTTGATTCGGCACCCTTGCTCTACGCTATTCCCGATGGAGGATAGTCCACTTTCGATCACCGCCAATGTCACCGGTATCCTCACCTTCGCCGTTGCCATCTTGGCATCCATGTATGTCCGCATCGTATCGTTACGCAGTGGAAACCTCGAACTGCAAACTACGCTAGAATCTGTTCAAGACAATGTCCACGACTTGATGAGAATAAACCGTCAAAATCCATCGGACTTCCGGAAAAGCCACCACATACAGGAAGGCGATGGACCCAACATTTGGCGATTGAAACAGCTGGGTTCGGATTTGATCGCGACCGAACTAGTCATCTACATTTACTGTATGCACGCTAAGGCTTTCGACGACAGGGATCAGATCGTAGTCAGCGTGCAAAGTGTGTTGTCCACTTTGAGGGATACTGTCGTTAGCCATACGGCGTTGAGTTATGCACAGGCAGAGATCTCAGGTATTCCAGTACAGAAGCCTTTTATGGGTAGCATATTCCTGCCCATATGCAGGTTTCTCCCCATCCACTGGAAATACCCGAGAAAACTCCTATATGCGTCGCAAAGGATATTGACGGTCGGTTCATCTCCAACTTTGATACGCTGGTATCGTGTGCGAGAGACGGTTTTGGAGAAGGTGCGTCACAGAGGGGTCTTGCAATCACAAATACTGTCTCTTCAGGTCTCAATGGCAAACTCGTAAGTGTAGTCAAGATGCCTTTTGGCTACCTAGCTCACTAGTGCATAGATCGGCTGAGAAGAGTGAAAGGGTACTACAGCAGCTCTCACAGCAACAAAATGAAGTCAAGAACAAGTTGGAAGAGCTCACTCGACTGTTGACGACAGCGAACCAGGCGTCAGCACCACCAGCGAGCGTCAGCGACAGTGGTGATCTAGCAGGTGCGCAGGCAGCGCCGCTGCCTGCCCAACAAGAAGCAGCGCAGTCGTATCACGGCGCTGAGGGTACTGGCGGCTAAGCGAAGAATGCCTGCGCGTGGCGTCTTCTCGAGAAGTTTCCGTTCACGTTCACGTCGACTCTCTTCATTGACGACAACCTAAGCGTCCGGTAGTCTGTTCAAACTATGTCTGGACCACAGATCATATTTGGAAACCTGCAATAGACACATCCGTCTTTCTCTTACTTTTCGCTGAGCTCAGCCTTTGTCTTCCAACCCATTATTTAACGGCGGGATTGAGTCATCGTATATAGCGTCCGTGATCGGGAGTCGTATCTTTCGCTGGACAGGAAAAGGCATGTTGTAATAACATAAAAAGCTCACCCGAAAACTTCTCTTTCAGTGCGAACGACGTTCGATACAATGACTTCTATCGCAAGCCATACATCACGTACGCCTAACGTAGCCTACCATCGGCACCCCATTCCACCAAAGAAATTCCTTTTCCGAGCGCATAATCGCGAAGATCCTGCCACTGTTGCCGATACCTGCTAGCCGTATTGTATTTGAATCCTTCCTCGCCTATCGTCAAGTGCGTGAGGTGGTCATCTAGGGGCTGTCGTATGCACGGCGAGACCAGTGAGAGAACGTGCGGCATTTCACCTGGTACCAAGACAGAATTCTTGACCTTGCAACCCCTTAAGATAATTTCGAGGTCAAGATGCCTGCCATGTTTGGCCAGATACGCGAGGATATCAGAAATATGGCGGTGTACCGAAGTCCGCCCCCATGTATACTCCTCGCGTGGCGGACTATAGAGACCAAACTCGTAGGGCCCATTCGAGCGTAGATCAATACCAGTGACGCGTATTAGCTCCGAGTTCCCTATAATTGAACGATATTGCGGGCTATGGTGAAGCGCGGGGCGGTCTTCGATAGTTATCTTCCTCAAATTGACCAGTCTTTCAAAGATCAGAGTCTGCAACTGCATTTTTGTGACCCGATGAAGCCCAAACGCATCGCGAACATGTGGATGTACCCTCGAGCTGTTGAGGCACTCATGCACGTACTCAAGCAAGTGTTCGGTACCGACGATTAGGTGCTCAACTCTTTTCGCGATGTCTGGAGAACTTGTGGCGTCGCTCAACGCTTGTATGCTGACCATTATGAGCGACACCTTCATTGTCTTGAAGAGGAAGGGGAATCTGTACGACATCTTCGTACATAGGTCTTTGTTGGCCAGGCGGAACGAGCCCACGTCACTGGCTTCAAGATATTCACCGATCCATGAGATAAGCTCGCCGGGCAGATCTGTCAGATTAGGCATCATGGAGTGTTTTGTGACGGCTCGCAATTACGAGCAAAGATCTTACACATCTATATGATGTATCGTTTGCTGTCAACTGTCACCTGCTTGTGAATCTTTTAGGGTTATTTTCAGAAAGAGATAGGCAAACAAATTGATCACAAAGGCGAATCACACATGCAACAAGCATCATAAGATCTATCTCATCCATCTAGTCTAGACTCCACCCACCTCATCTCTTCGCAACGATGGTACACGGCTCCGTCATGTGCCAAGTTCGTAGCTTGGGCTCGCCCAGAACATTGCCACCCTGAAGTAGCATTTGATCGTCGTTCTTCTTATCGTCATCATCTCCACCACTCATCTTGATGAACTCCGCTTCGTCGACCGTTGCACCAACTTCGTATGTACCACCACATAGCGCAACGATGCCAAGCTCAGACTCCACTGTCTCTCCAGGCTGTATAAGCGGCAACTTGCGCTGCAGCACACCAGTCCACGAAAAGCGCTTATCTAGATCCAAAGCAACGTTGTGGGGAAGACCGGCGACATGAGGCTGTAGTCTGAGTATAGGGGAGATGGGGCGTGGACTTCGATTGCGGACGAACGTCTTCATGGTAAGGAATTCGTCTATCGGTACCTCGAACTTTGCGCAACCGACTTGTCGCACAACTTCTTCGCCATCCGTTACAGGGTAGTCCGAAGTGATAGTGGTTTGGATGGCGAGGTCGTCAAGCTTGATAGCCTCGACCATGCGCGGCGTGAAGCGGATGCTACGCAATTCCAGCTCGCCATGACGTCCATTGCCGTCTTCCGTCCACGTTCCGCGCACGATCTTGAGTAGCTCTTCGCGGTACCAGAAAGCTTCTCGACTCGCACGTTCGGTCTCGGGAGAGATCTTGCTCGTGCTGACGACGAACTGGCGTTGGTTGGCGGGATTGAGCGATGGTACAGCCGCATGTGGGGCTTTCAAGTAGACCTTTGGGAGGATCATGACGACTCTGCTGACATGCCCCGGTTGTATGACTTCGTTCACACTATGCGCTTCGTTCCAGGAGTCGTTGGTGTAATTGCCATCATCCACGGGCTTTCGGGCTTGGAGCAAAATCGAGAGCGGGTTTGGCCAGGAGTTCCTAAGATCTAAGAGGAGCATGCAGTACTCTTCATCGCTATCATCACTCCGCTTTTGACTGATGAAAGACCGAAGATGACCGTCGGCTTTGCCAGACGACCGTGATTGCGAGGCTTCGTCATCGGATTGAGTGCGCGAGCCTGAGGATGCATCGCTAGACCAGGCAATATCTCCGGATAATGGTACTATGTCCGGACGTTGGAGCTGCACACTCGCATTGACGGTGATCGAGATGGGCGCAGAGACCTGACGGGTGAAGAAGTGCTCCTCTACTTCCGATCTTCGCTTTCCAAGGTTGGCATAGTCGATCTGTATAGTCGCATCTGTTAGTCTTGTGCGACCGATAACCTCGATGGTGAACTGCGCTTCAGCGCCAGGCTTGATGCTCGGTGATTCCTCGGCCTCATCCTTGCACCAGCGCAGGGACGGATGATGGGCGAGCTGGACTTCCAACTCATGCAATTCGGCTGCAGGCAAGTCTTTGTTGGAAGTCGCCGCTTGTATCGCAGTGGTCGCCGTATCCTGGAAAGAGATGTGGACGAAGTCGACAGTTGTTTCAGTCGAAGTATTCTTCACTGTAACAGTAAATCGTTTCCTTTCGCCTTCAAGCACCATAACGGCTGATTGCGGCAACGAAACATTGGTGATTATAATGACGGGCTGGTCGGGGATTACCGAAAACGTCAAAGACTCTGGCTTTGGCTGAGAGGTCGCTCTACTGTCGATGGATGGTGCGATTGCCGAGGAGGGCCGGGATGTTGGTGCCCCTAAACATGCCTTGAGGCCCATGCGCTTCATTTTAGCTTCTCTCTTCGGCTTCCATGGCTCTGGGAATATGGGGAACAGCCGCTCTCTGCAGCCGATAAGCTTGACGTAGCATCCAATGATCTTCAACAACCCTGATGTCCGCGCAGTCCCTGTGATCTGGAACTTCTGAGTCCTGTAAGGGCCCAGTAAGAAGTGTTCCTCCAGCGCGACAAACTCAACACCTTCAGCAGCTATCTTCAACGACTCTACGCCAAGCTCAAACTCATATGGATTCTGCATGGCTATGACGAAGCGATAGTGCTCATTCGCGACCAGGACTGTATTTGCAGCATTTGTTTGCGGCTTCTTCAGCCAGGCATTGTGAAGAAAAGGGCCGTCTTTTCCTTGGCTGTCCGACTTCAACTCGATCCCCTGTCTTTGAGTTAATCGGAGAGGTTCCATTTCCTCGAGAATGAACAACCCGCGCACGAGGAAGTCATCCCAGTATTCTGTTTCTACATGTTGTAGTCCAAGCTTCTTAGCGGCAGTGACGGTTCTCGAGATATTGGAGTACAGTCGGATCTGCTCATCTCGGGGAAGAGAGACGAACACGTCGGTGCTATTGGGTCTCGGTGCTGTTCCGGGACCCGCCACCCGAAGCAAGAGAGCAGTGAAATGGAGGACGCCATTAAAGTCTGGTAATGCTTCGCAGAAACTCAGACACGTTCGTAATATCTCTAGCTTGAGACTCAAACTTCCGAAAGTGCGCAAAGACGATATTGCCAGTATGGTGTCAACGACGCGTTGACTAGCAATACTATCCGATGCACTTTCCGCGTTCTCATCTCTCTGACTGGGCATCCCGATATTGGGCATGTTCCCTTTCGAATTCGGTATCCCGTATATCCGGCCTAGCAAGCCTAGGAATTCCTCAATCCCATTTTCGACTTCGCCTTCGCCTAGATTGAGAGCACCACTCCCGGAGCTACCGCCGCTTGCAATGTTGAGAGCCGCAAGGCCAGCAGCTGGATGTACTCCCATCTCTGCTGCACCAACCTTGCGGGCCTGTATCAAGCCAGGAACCAAAGATGTGATAAACTCCTTCATGACGATAGCTTTCTTGCGTTGTAGCCCCAAAGACGATAAGATCGAGGCAACACCAGCAAGTACTACGACGCGGTCTGTGGGGTTCATGCCCGAGCTCTCCGCTGGTCCAGGTAATGCACGAAATAGCATAGACGCTATATCATTACGCGTAGGGTGTACACTAAGCCTCGGGACCGAGAGGCGTGGCTTTTGCTTGTATGGCGTATTCTGCACAAGCTGGCGCAATGCATCATCATCTAGAAAGCCTCCGGACAAGTTGATGGCGGCCAGCAACTTGGAGAAGCGTATTACACATTCTGAAAACGCGAGCGGCGGCAAAGATTCGCCAGCGAAATTGGCCGCACGGGTGTATAGGTTCAGTATCATGTTGACCATATCTGGAAGCATGGAGTTCAGAGCGTCCAGTGAATTATCGTGTTTGTGAGGTTTGGCGGGAGTCGAAACATCAGAGACACTACTCGAAGGTGTATGAGTGGGTGACTTGTTGCCTCCAGACTTATCGGATGTCGGATAGCAGATTGGGGGTATCTTGATGGTCAGTAAGATGATCAGGCTGACATCATATAAGAGTTGGACTAACCTGGAAATCCATGCCTGACCATGCAAAGAGAAGCATACAGACCATAATGTGTTCGAGAGCTTTAGCATGCCACAAATGGTCACTTAGAGCACGTGCTCTTGTCGCGGCTTCTGTAAGCTCTCGTACAGCCTCGACCCACTGGCCTGCGCACATGTACAAGGTACCGATCACGATCCCAATACGACCGCGTCCCTTGTTTCGAGCTCTTT